AGATAGAACGAGAGAGGGAGAGAGAGAGAATGAGAGAGAGAGAGAGAGAGAGAGAGAGAAGGAGAGAGAGAAAAAAAAGAGGGAGAGGGAGAGGGAGGGGTTGATCGTTTGCATGTGAGTGAGGGAGAGAGAGAGAAAGAAAGAGAGAGAGACAGAGGGAGGGAAAGAGAGAAAGTGAGAGAGAGCGAGAGAGTTGGAGAGAGAAAAAGGGGCGGTTAAGGGAGAGAGAGAGACACACACACACACACACCCGCACACGCACACACACTTACACACACACACACACACACACGCACACAGACAGAGAGAGAGAGAGAGAAAGAGAGAGAGGTTGGGAGTGCGGTGGAGTGGTCAAGGGGTATGTATGGCTCGCAATCGCCAAGTTATGAATTTAAAAATCATTATAATTTCGTTTTTTTCTTTCTTTGTTTTTAAACCCTCTTTTTCTTCTTTCTTTAATCTCTTTATCAGTTCGCCTAAGAAGCCCATCTTGATGAGCATGATCCGTGACCCCATTGACCGATTCGAGTCTCATTTCTACTTCATAAGACATGGGGACCTGGACATGAGCAAAGAATTGCTCCAGAAAAACATCAAGGCCGACTCAAATATGGCACTTCCAAACGAAGTAAATAGTAGGAATCTTTCTTAAAGGTAATTCAAAGTTTTTGGAAATTTTGAAAATTGGGATGGATAGTAATTCTTTCAAATTGTTATATATTTGGATGCCCCTGTAGATGTATTATAAGCACTATAAAATTTAGTTCCTAAAACACTTCTGCTTTCGAGAAATTGAATAATTAAAAATTTACCTGTGCTCCCAGTAAATTTCAAATATTTCAAATAGCGCTTAAGGCCATTCCATGGTAGCTGCGACCATGACAATCTCAGAATATGCATTTCCGAGATACAATTTCCAAGCGGAAATAGCAAATTGGGCGATTGTAGTAAAAAAACAACAACATTGTTTTAAAGCTAAGGTTATATCAGTCTTGAGATGGAGCTTTACAACATAAATAGTTTATTATTTACAATGTCATGACTTTAGATTCGATTTCAACCGCGACAACGATCATTGAATATTGAAAAATCGCATATGCTTCAAATATGTTCATTTGAAACGAATTCATGACCCCATACCAAAACTTTGTATTACCTTTAATGAAATGAAATTAAAATCTGTCTTGCTTAAATGGGACGAATTGAATGATTTCAACTTAGTGTGGCAACCATCGGCGTAAACATCCTTTATTATCATGGGCGTAAGGGCAAACTTTTGCCGGGTGCCGAGAAGGGGGAGGGGCTGACCTCTGTTGCCCGGATATTTTCCAGTTCCGGGTTCAGATATTTAAAAGAAATCTGGAAAAAAAGAAGAAAAATGTCATCTTAAATGTGATCACAATCTACATGTGTCGGAATGAGTGATTTCAAGTTCGGTGTTGAAAGCTGGCTTTGGTGTTGTGAGCAGGGGCGTCGCCAAAGAGTGGGGGGGTGTGGGGGTGTCAGGATATTGTCGGTAAAATTGCGCTGCCGTCGGGAAAAAAGAGAAAAGGGGGAGGGGATAAAAGAGAGAGAAAGGGAAATAAAAGAAAAAAGAAAAGGAAAAGAAAAGAAAGAAAGAAAAAGAAAGGAAAGAAAGGAAAGGAAAAGAAAAGAAAGAAAAGAGAAGAAAGAAAGAGAAAAAAGGAAAAAGAGGGAGGAAAGGAAAGAAAGGAAAAGAAAGAAAAGAAAGAAAAGGAAAAAAAAGAAAAAAAAAAAAAGGGAAACAAAAGAAACGGGGGTGAAAGAGAGGAGAGAGGGGGAGGTAAGAGCCTGAGATAGGAGGAGTGGGAGTAAAAGAGAGAGGGGGTTGTTGGGTGGAGTCGTCTCGTCGAGGGAGCAAGAAAGACACGACTAAATATATTGCTGTGTCGGGTCAGCTGTGTCGGTATTCTTGCTCGATCCTCGTGTACTATATCAATGCAGAAGTTTGAAGTCGGTGAGATGTATATTTGTCGGTCGACCGACAAGTTTTTTTCCCTACGAACTGTGACTTCTTATCCGCTGTGACGAATTCGAGAGTGACTTCAACTACAATAATTGTATTTTTTCGAAGTTTCACTTTCCTATAATATCAGCTAAAGAATTCAAAGGTTTAACATTTTCGGCGAAACCAACTCAAACAAGGATTAAGAGTCAACAACGGTACGACGAATCGTCTTCCCTTCTCTATATTTTGATGAAACACCAAAAATTCCGCGCTTCGCGCGGGAGGGGAAAACTTCATTTAGAAGAGTCGCAAACGATACAACGAATCGTCTGCTTTCTCTAATAATTTAAGGAAACGTCAAAAGCTTCCGCGCTTTGCGCGAGAGGGGGAAACTGAATTAAGATAAATGGGGCTTATTAAGAGTCGAAAATGGTACAACGAATCGTCTGCTTTCTCTAATAGTTTGAGGAAACGTCAAAGCTTTCGCGCTTCGCTCGAGAGGGGAAACTGAATTCAGATAAATAGGGCTTAATAAGAGTCGAAACGGTGCAACGAATCGTCTTCTTTCTATAAGAATTAAATCAAACATCTAAGTTTTTCGCGCTTCGCGCAGGAGGGGGAAACTGAATTCAGACAAGGATTAAGAGTCGAGAACAGTACACCAAATCGTCTGCTATATCTTATAATTTAAGGAAACTTCAAAGCTTTCGCGCTTCACGCGAGAGGGGGAAATTGAATTCAGATAAATAGGGCTTTAAGAGTCGAAAACGTTGCAATGAATCGTCTTTTTCTCTAATAATTTAATGAAACGCCAAAACTTCCGCGCGGGGGAGAACTGAATTCAGATAAGGATTAAGAGTCGAGAACAGTACACCCAATCGTCTGCTTTTTCTCTAAAATTTTAATGAAACGTCAAAGCTTCCGCGCTTTGCGCGGTAGGGGGAGAAACCGAATTCAGACAAGGATTAACAGTCGAGAACGGTACATTAAATCGTCTTCCTTTCCTAATAATTTAATGAAATGTCAAAGCTTCCGCGCTTCGCGCTAAAGGGGGAAACTGAATTCAGACAATTATGGTTTATTAAGAGTCAAAACAGTACAACGAATCGTCTTTTTCTCTAATAATTTAATGAAATGTCAAAGCTTCCGCGCTTCGCGCGGGAGAGGGAGATCTGAATTCAGACAAGGATTAAGAGTCGAGCAAGGTTCAACGAATCGTTTACTTTCTCTAATAATTTAATGAAACGCCAAAACTTCCGCGCGGGAGGGGGGAAGAACTGAATTCAGATAAGGATTAAGAGTCGAGAACAGTACACCCAACCGTCTGCTTTTTCTCATAATTTAATGAAACGTCAAAGCTTCCGCGCTTTGCGCGAGAGGGGGAGAAACTGAATTCAGACAAGGATTAACAGTCGAGAACGGTACATTAAATCGTCTTCTTTTCCTAATAATTTAAGGAAACGTCTAAGCTTTGTGAGAACACCAACACCAGGCAGCTACAACACCGAACACCGTACTTGAAATCACTCAATGACTAGGTGAACGATATATTCTTGCTGTTTATAGTCGTGATTGCTTTGGTCTAACCACAGAGGTTACTTGAATTAACCCAGTTGATCTACCCATCCCGTCGGTGTCTATTCTCAATTTATTAAAATATTATCATACCATTGTTTTCAGTATTTTGTTTGTTCATATATTTGTTTGTTGTTGTTGTTGTTTTTGCAGACGCTAGATGACTGCGTTGAGAAGGAAAGAGAAGAATGTACACTCAGCTTATACCGTAATATGTATATTACATCATTCTGCGGCTACGCCCCAGGATGCAGGTATCTATACCTCTAACTCGCTTTCAGCTCGCGTTAAGCTCACTGCACACTATACGATCCCACTACGATTTGACTACGATCTGATGTCAGTTATGTGGACATTCGAACATGCAAACTCTATCAAGTTCTGAATATTCATACTATGAATAGCTAAATGAAAATGGCTGGATGTTGGGGCCTCGGTTGGTGGAAGGCCATATCGCCTCTCGCTTAGAATCGTAGTGACGTCTTGATGACGTCATTCATATTCATACCATCCATTATTCATACTAATCATACATATATGGAAATTCTTACCTGGGAATAGTCAAGTGCAAAATTTATTGACATAATGCTGTCCCTATTTTTTTTTTAAAGTCTCTGTTTTCGACTTCCTCGCTTAGCTCGCTCTCTAACAGATCATGGAAGCATTGTCTTCGGGCAAGGGAAACCAGCCCCCTGACATTTCGCCCATACGCCTATGATTCTTGTAATTTATTTCATTCATTTTATTTTAAGGTATATATTCCTACATCATGTTTATATCTACTCCATATTCATATATGCAATCAGCGTGTAATTTACTTTCTTACAGTTTATGTAGGCCTACGTGCACGGTACAGGGAAAAATATGTCAATGTCACCATGATTAAAGAAAATGAATGAAAGCATAGAAAAATCAAATTCAATCATTCAAAAAACATAAAGTGGTGAAAATCATCACGTTTTGACGTTTAAGTAAAAGTGTTGTTGAATTGAGCGCCGACCAGTGTAATTACAGTTGTACAATTTTTCATTGTGTCATTATTACACTATATCATTATAGCTATCAAGGGATAAACATTAATTATAAAGAAAATAACGAAGCTGAATGCTAATCTATAATTTTCTCTTGCCTTTCTTTTCACAGTATATCTCCCTCCTTTGCTTTGGAAGAAGCCAAACGCAACGTAGACAAGTTTTTAGTGATCGGAGTGATGGAAGAGTATGATCTCTCTATGGCCGTCTTTGAAAAGCTACTACCAGAAACATTTGGAGGAGCAGCGAAAATATATGACGAGAGCAAAAGTAAGAATTTTAGTCTTTTTCCTCGACGGCGTGAAATGAATTAAAATCGATTCTTATTCATATCAAAAGTTATGAACTATAGAGTGCGCCTTAGAAAAAACGAAACGGAGAACTATCGATGCTTTATTGTAACTTAATCACAACTATAATTATTGAACGAACTCGTTTGCACTGGCTGCCTGCCGTAGCAACAAGCAAAAACCTCCGTTTTGTTGACGATCAGCCAGGGGCGGATCAAGCTGGCGGCAGGGAGGGGGCCAAAGTTGGGGTCTAATTCGTGAGGAAATATTTAGCGGCGATCGAAACAGCCAGCCGGTGACGAAGCGGGGGGGGGGGGGGGGGCGGGGGGGGGGGGGTAAATAAAGGTAACAGTAACCTGTATTTACCTGTTTTTCTCAGGGGACGGGCCCCCGCCCCCTGGATCCGCCACTGCGATCAGAAAATAAGATGGTTTTGTAATGATATCTTGTTGTATCTTTGAAAGTCGATATGACTCAATTTTCAATGGATACAAATTTAACATGATTTGTGTGGTTTTTAGGACCTGCCATTTGTTTTGTATGAGGTAATTATCATGAAAACTTTCTTTTCGTTTTCCCACTGTTTTTTCTTATTTTAGGTCAACCGATGACAAAATTCAAAACGACCTATAAGAAGCTTCCTTCTCAGGGAACATACTCCATTTTAAAAGAACGGATGAAATACGACTACATGTTCTATGATTATGTGAAGAAGCGGCTGCACAGAATCGCGAGGAGGCTAGGCATAGGTCAATGCTCCAGTATGTGGTAGTTGAAATTAAACTTGAAATTTCATGCATGGTATTGTTTTTAACATGATCGCAAGGACTTTCAGGAAATCAACAAAAACATGATGATACATATATTAAGATTTTTATTTTGCCAAAATATCTCTGGACATAATATGTTTATTGACTTCCAATTATATATACCTATCTAAAATCCCATCTTGGGGCCACCATCCTATCCAAGCATCGCTTATGATTGCGGTCTCCTGCAGTTTTTCACAGATAGTTCGGATAATAGTTTAAATTAATAATAATATACATTATAATAGAAATATAAAGTTTCGTTATTATATGTACATAACATTTTGACATTAAGTGACTATTGTTTGCATATTACCTTACGTTTATATGTTCTTTGTTATTCAGTTATTGTATTTGGAAAAATGCAGAAATAAACAAAGTAAAATCAAATCAAAATCGAAACGACTTATAATACTTTTTACTCCATGTGTGCTTGTGGTGTTTCATTTAGATAAAAACGAAACGAATGGTAAAACTCTTACGAGGTAATACGTATGTTATTATATTCGAAATGAATATTCATTCTGTATCTCTCTCATCCAATAACAAAATCACTCTTTTGAAGAAAAAACACCAGATGCCTTAGTTTAAAGATATGTGGATGTATCAAATCGTTCAACGTGGTATAACTTATTTAAAAAGTATATATTTGTATCATGGATGTCATGTACTAGGATTTATATATAATTTATATGATTTATGTTATATTTATGAATATAATATTGATGTATTTGATATTTGATAAAACACAATAAAACTCGTATTCACTGGCAACGTTTCATCAATATTCATATGGAAAAAAACATGAAGGACAAAACAGAGAAACATCGATTTATTGGACCTGATGAATGCTGCTTGTAGAAAAGCGTGGAAAATGTGAACGTGTGTGTGCGTGTGTGAGTGGGAGGTACATAGCTTCAATGCATGTTTTCAGTTGTTTGCCTTCCCTTGCTTCTCTTCCGTTTTTACTAAAATCTATCTATCTGTTACAATGGGTACTACTTTTCAAAGCCAGGGGCAGATCCAGGAATTTCTTGCCGGGGGGGGGGGGCACACAGTGGGAAAGAGAACATATATATATATATATATAGTTTGTAGGGGGGGGGGGGGGGTAAGAGGACACTTTTTTTTGGGGGGGGGGATCACAAAATTTGACATTTGACATTTTGCTCCGTTGGGGGGGGGGGGGGTAAGGTCACCTTTTTAGGTCAGCCATTTGCATTTTTTTTTTTAAATTAAATTAAAAAAAACAACAATTTGGCCGGGGGGGGGGCACGCCCCTGTTTTTCAGTACATTTTGGGCGAATTTAGGGCTGATTTTAACATATTTTTTTGGCCGGGGGGGGGGGGCACGTGCCCCCTGTGCCCCCCCCCCCTGTATCCGCCGCTGAAAGATATATAATTTCTTTCCAACTCTTCTAAGCTGCGATTCTCTGATCAACCATACATTTCCACTTTTTCTCGTCTTCAACTCTCGCTCTCTCTCTCTCTATTCTGAAGTAATATTCCTTTCAATTTCAAAATGTGTCTGTTTAATTCCACAGAGAATGCTATTTTTGTCTCTGCATCTTTCTCACTAGCCATCTTCACCTTCGTTACCTTGTTTTATTTCATGAACTTACTCCTTCCATTTCCCTCTTAAATTTTAATCTGTTTAATATGAAGAGCTGCCTTCATTCAACCCTCCACCCTCTCCCTCTTCCATTTTAGAAACTCAACATATTCATCATTATTTTCCTTCTTCCTCCTCATTTTCTTCTTCTTTGTCTTCTTATTATCATTTCTATCATTATTATTTTAATGTTGTTATTATTATCTTCATTATTATCTTTAATAAGTTTTTTTTCTTATCTGTAAATAATACGATTTTAACTTATTAATTTTGTACACGTATGTCGGGGACCCCATCGGAAATAAGCTCTCGAGCTTTCGTGGGTTATCCTGTTGATCTGTTAGTCTTTTATATTGTTGTATGTTGAGGCTTTGCGAATAAAAATTCTTTCTGTCTCTGTCTCTCTCTCTCTCACTTCCCCCATCTCTCTTATATCTTTCAACTCCACTGGTTCTTTCCCTTCTAAATTTACACGAGAGTCAACTTAAAATTGCCATTTTCCACAAGACCCATTCACCTAAAACACAAAACACAGGGCAACGCTCATTTTCAGAAGTCAAACAGAATTTATTATCAATATTTTAACATTTCATTTTTTAGTGTGATTTCATCAGTGCATTATTAACATCACCCTACCATTTACAACTACACAAAGTTCAACTGGACAACAACAAAGCGAGAAACAACTTTCGTGTCAATGGAAAAAAAAAATTGAAGCAGTGACCACAGATAGAGTAAAAGAAAAACTTAAAAACAAAAGTTAATGGCTAAATACTTCATATAAATTTAAAATATGCAGAAGAAAATAGTCTACTATTTCATTCTAGTGCGGACATTTGGTAGGTGTTCATAATAAGTAGAAATCTTAGTGCACAATATTGCAAAAATTGTTTTAAATTACGAAATAGAGAGAGGCTGCCACGATAGAAGCGCCCATTTCACAGCAATCTTACTAGACAACTATTAATTGAATAAATAGTCAAAACAAGCCTATATAAAAAATATGGGCATTATAACACCTTCCTCATATATTATAGTTGGTGCTGTTTTTAGCAGAACAAGACACGACAGTCAACTTAAAAGAGCACATTTCAAGGAAAAAGAAACAAAATAAAACAAAGAACATCTTAAATTTCAAATGTGATTGGTCCATGGACAAGTAAGTCTATACAAGAACGACAAGTTGTAAGGACATATGAACTTGTTCACATGATTGGCAATTGGAATCTCACTGCAAAAAGGTCGTACGTGACAAGAAAGCTGATTCTCCCCATTATGCTAGCTGTTCTTCTTCCCAAAGAGATGTATCATACTCCTTTAATATCGTTCATCATTACAAAAAGAATTCATTGCAGTTTGAAAATGTACATTAAAAATCTTTGCTAAATCTACGACCATTCAAGTTCATCACACCATCCTCCCTCTCTTTGGGAGGAATAACAGCCAACATAATGTAGGTCAGTTGTTGTTTATTTCTTTAAAATCATAATTTCTCTACGAAATAAAAAATGAGAGGAGTAGATAGAACACCTTTTACTATCTCAATAATTTGTCTATGTTGCACTTTTTTTCAGGGTCTCATAAATATTCCCGCTCACTCTGTTAAAGGACTACACTATTTTCTGTCTATTACTTAGATTGCCGGAGGCATCTCCCTACATCCTATCTGCATGATTAGTCTACATTCCAGCCCTCTGATGAATAAAATGTCAATAATACATTTTTGGTATCTTCTCCATATGTACAATTAGACATAAAATTATTTCATTTCATTTTTTTTTCAAATTTTCATAATATTAAAAAATCCAGTCATCATAGATCACAACATTCATATTTTCCCAGATATGTGATCTCCACTTTTTTATAAATCCCCGTCATTTGTTCGAAAAGCGACACAAAGATGTTTCATGTCTCTGTTTACATTACAGCTTTTCTCACAATATTTGTACAAAATATAAGGATACCCGTGATTTGAAGCTCGTGTCTATGACATCTCAAATAATAAGATTCACAAAGACCTACCAATTTTGGAAACAAAAAAAAAAGGAGAAAAACTATTAAGGAACCTCCCATAATATCTGATAGAACCTTCCTTCCCTCTCCCATAAAAAATAAATAGAGTTTTACCAAAATAAACAACTAAGAATCGTCTCCTTTTTAAGATGCCTGCTTTTCTAAAACCCTACATGATATCAAGCCGGCACCCTGTGAACAAACCGTGCTCATAGCAACAACCAAAAATGGACTCAATTGTATACCATACAATACGATATATATAATCCACAGTATATGATTGTGTGGATATGTTTCATGAATGACCATATACAAACATGGATGCTATATATACCCAACATTATTGAGAGGGGAAGGCTAGCTCGATAAGCAGAATATAAATATGTACGAAATCAGTTGTCTTGCTAGTGAGCTGCTACATATACAGGCTTCTTGTACAAATTGAGAAAAGCATGTTGATAAAGCAATCAGTGTACACAGTCACCGTAGATGTGGATCAGTGGTTGTCCATCGTATTAATAGTGGCGGAATTGAGGTAGCCACGGTTTTTCTTCTTCTTAATAATGAGGTACATATGATATGGTTGCGCTGCCAGCACTGCTACAAAAACACTTCACCAACTTTCAGTCCCATCCTATATTCCTTCCACAATATTTCCAGTCCAATCCCTACCAGTCTGTCAATCCTGTTTCTTCTTTGGATGTAGAAGACCATTCTTATTCGACATCCCAGAGACATTTGGATCAAAAAGTTGATTGCTAAATCTCCATCTTTCTATCATAAGGCACGCATGCTACAAGATTCACTCTAATGTTAGCCGCTGTGTAACCGCAGCAATGCTTCCTATCATAAATAAATATTCTGGAGATTTGTTATATCATCTCTTATTTTTTGGTTTCTATATCCAATCTACAGATACTACACATCTGAGTAAAGATAATAAAAGAGTTATCTCTCACCATGCTTACTCTAAAACACTATTCTTTGACGCATGCACTCTAAACATTTCCAATAAGGATATTTCAAACTTGACCGTTTCATATTATTTTACGTCGACTTGCAAGATTTTCTTCCTCTCAAATCATTTCCGTTCTCTTACAAAACAAGCCCTGCTATCCATGACCTTTGAACTATGACCTTGGTGGCAGTTTCATGTCAAATTTTTCATAAAATAATTCAAGGTCCTGTGCTTCTGTTCCATGTGATGCAAACTAACATGCTGTGAATCGACATGTTAAGTTATCTATGCCATACACAACCTACGTTGTCATGGCAACTACTGGCAGTCGGAACCATGTCATATGTGCCATATAATTCTTTTTCTCTTGTCTTAGACAAGAGTATAAACAATCTCCACAAGCTAATTAAGATATCTGAAACTGTGCATATATAGAGATATAGACAAAGCAGAGATTTGATATAAACTTTTTTTTTCCAGGGGGGAGAAAAGGGAGCAAAAGACAATGAAGAAGGGGGGTACGCCCCCAGTCCTATGTCACTTCAAAATCACAAATTTATCAGATTATCTACACTTAATTTCTTACACTGACTTAGACATGGTATACCTACTACTTAGTGCACAATCTACGATCACCACAACCACGTAATTACAAGTACTTCTAATCTACCTTACTACTTCTACCTCCGATACTAGGTGTCATAGCTACAATAACTTACCGATAAATGTACAAGAGAGAGTCAATACACAACCAAGAATAAAATGAATAGCAGAACCTTATTATATGCTTCACAAGTAATTGAGTTATATATATATTTATATATATAAAAAATGAGAGAATAATTTAAAAAGCCATGATACAACACATACGAGCTAACAAAAAAAATGACCTAAACAAAAGATGTGAAAAGAACAAGACTGAGTGTAAAGAATAAAATCAAATGAAATCAAATCTTAGAATGTTTGTTGATAACAAAATAGGTCAATGAATGACCCTATTTTGGTTAACAATTACGTTGGCACTTCTTAGAATATTGTTTTTGTTGTTGTTGATAGTACAACTAGATTGGATCTTTCTTCCAAGGGGAATTAACGAACCTAGAGGTCAACTCAGAAGAACAGAGTGGAAAGATTTGGCTCCTAAACACGGAAACATAACAACTCCACTACTTAGTCGTAAAATCAGTCTACATTACAATATCATTCATTCCATTTCAAACTTATTATTTCTTATAATTTTTTTTAAAACGTTCAGTTGATTTCACCTTTTTTCCAAACATCTTTCATAGAAAACAGAATCAATGCTGAAACCACTGTTAATGTATTTTTTTTTTTTTTAAAATATTTTCAACCCTGAGTTGAGAGGAAGGAAGAAAACACACAAAACATACAACAAGAGATATAGCTCCATCGTTACAATGGACAAACAGAGAGGACAAGTCAAAATGCACACATTTACCCAAACACTCTCATACACATTCATCAAATACACGATCATCATTGAAACATCACAGTGGTTACACATCCCTTGGAGTCAGAGGATGGATGCAGAGCCAATTTGGATTCTTCGCCCCATTTGGATTCATGCCAGATATATTACAGCTATTTCTTCGCACCTCGCGAGTGCAAATTCAAAATTCTGATAAAATTTGTCTCCTGCTTCTTCCTTTCTATCGCATACAACCAGAGTACCGGCCAACCTGAGAATCATTATGTACAGTGATATTTTGAACCCACCCCGGAGCTTCTTCCATCGATTCATTTGACGTTTCTTACAGCAGCCTAGGTAATAGAAATTTTAGTACATGATTCAGGCAAAATCTGTCAAATTTTGGTTAATTTCATGAGTACATTTCAGACAGACACTGTCAAAAAAAAGAAGAAAATGTATGTTCTTCCACGCTCACTCCAAGAGATTCTCAAATTTCATTATAATCCATGATTTCAATTTTGAAATTGAAAGTAGAAAGCATAAACTGACTCTTTTTCTAAGCATAAAATAGAATGTGGAGTGTATGGTATATACCAAACTCCTGTAATCAACTCATTGTGTATGGCATTTGATTTGTGTCTTTAATTCTTCGAAAAGACAGCCTTGTGAAAAATTGAACTCAGAGAAGTGTTACAAAGAAAGAAAGAAAGAAAGAGAGAGAGAGATGACTACAACGACGTTTCAAAAATAGTTCTCAATTAAAAAACACATAATCACATAGCTAAGCAAAGGATAATCAATTCACACAAACAAATTTTGGCAATTCAATTCTTTCCTCTTTTTCCTTAAATATTGCTGAGAATTACAAAACTTGTACAGAATTCATAGATTGAGATTGTCAATTAGATGATACAAATATTGATGGAATTGTGCAATTAAGTGAATAAAAATATCTCCAATCTTCCGATTTCATGCACTTTACTACAAGTCACATGCTATAGGCAATGTGCCAAGTTTGTTTATCTTTCTGTTTTACTCTCTCTCTAGCTTCTCCAACAATGGCACATGTTGCTCGAAAAAATATTCTGCCTACCCAATTCCTAACTATCCGCCCTTGGCCACCATCAACCTTCACAAGCTAAGAAACAGCAATCCATATTTCTTATCCTCAAAAAGTAAGTAGAAATGTCCGATGAAAATTACCACCATAATAAGCCAATGCTAGAAATCTGAATTCCTGAATGGATTGTGTTTCTGAGTTGTATGGTAAGGTCTTACATATATCAAAAGCCTCTTTTCTGTGACTTGTGCCCGAATAGCCAAAAGCACCTACGGAGAGAGGACAATCCTCGGAGGTATGTGTTCTTCACAGACACCGTACATGCATGCTGCAAGTTTCAGAGATCCGGATATCAAAAAAAAATTACTGTTTCACAACGGACTTATCTGAAACCAGATGCATCTTCTGTTTAGAATAAATAATCACATTTAATATACACTGGTTACCCCTCTACCTCCGACAAACATCTGCATCGGGCGATCGGCTACAATGCGATTTCACAAATATTCCATCTTTGAAATTTCTCGTAACTTATTCTCTTTCATAATTTCATTGCATTGAGTGCAGACTAAATTGGCTGCATAAGTTTAAAAAAAAAACAGATGTGTAAAGAAAGCAAGCAAAACATATTTAAATGCAAGTATTCATAACAAAACTGAACAAGATAATATATATATACACTAATATCACCCTAAATTGCCTTAGATTGCTCAGACCAATGTTATCATTGAGAAAAAAAAGAACGCATCAGCCAAAAAAAAAATGATTGTCGGCTGTGACATATCATAGCAAAGATATAAGAGCCATGCAAAGTGCAAAATTAAAAAAAAAAAGATAAGTATTTGAAGATTTAAAAAAAAAAATGATTGACATAAAAACCATCACATCTTACGATACAGTTCATGAACATATTCCTTTCAAAGTTTAAATTAACAGGAGTAAAATTTGGAGAAAAACTTACACTGTAATGTTTCATACAAATATTGATAAATAATGCTGGTTTTATGCTAACCAGCTGATAGTATACATAAACCGTTCTTTCTCCACGGTGTGTATCAGCAAAACGTCCATAGAGATAGATGTGTGAATGAGTAGGACCGTTGAAATGAACGAAGCCAGTTGAAGATATCATCCAAGAACTAGACGAAAGGTTTAGTAGTTCCTCCCATGTGAGACTGTGTTATAATGACCAGATCCATACCCTGTCTGTGGAATCAACAATAAAACAGCAAAATAAGAACATTCTTGAAACTTGCTTCCCTCTTCCCTTTTCTGTCAAGACTGGTCTATCGAATGGAAAGCATAAATCTTTGCTGAGGGTGTTTCACAAAGACTAAGGTCGACTTTAAGTTGGACTATGGCAGCCTGTTCATGCAACCGTTTGCTCTCACCATTATGATCTTTAGATCATATTTTTTCCTTCAATAATCATTATCAAAAAAATGTAAATTCTGTAGATTTGTTACCATGATGTGTACTTCCCATGAGAGACCCAATGCCAGTAAATGGTGAGAGCAAACAGTAGCATGAACGGCATGTCATAGTTCAGTCTGACTTAAAATCGACCTTAGTCTTTGTGAAACGCCCCCCCCTGGTCGGTTAGTCATTATTCATCCTGTCTGTATACTCCTTGTATACATAAAAACGATGCAAGGAATCATCATTTGAAGATCATATCGTCCGCTCGGAGCCAGAAGGGCAGTAACTCATATACTTTAACACAGAGTATATATCCCTTCTGGCTCCAAAAGGACAATAACTTTTTGAACAATGATGAAAGGGTACATTTTAGCATCAGTTTAGACATTATTACAAGCATACTGTAACACATATTTACCATCAATCTAATGTTAAATTCTGCTATCTAAGGATTGTTTGTCATTATTTACTTATATATTTAATTTATTCTTCTTCTTAGGAAGGGGGGGGGGGGGATAATTTTCATTACCTATACTTCGGTCACATCAATGAGCCTGACACCATACCAACGATGAACCAAACAAACAATTACATCAGCCCTGTTGACTGTTGTTAATTTTTAACAATTTCTTTTTTTTTGTGAAGAATTTTTTAGCTTGCACCCAGTAGATAAAGATTGCGTGCTCGATCTTGTAGTTGAAAACAAGTCAGAAAAAATCTTGGGAGGAGCAGGAATTGAACCTGCTATCTACTGCTTGCCGGGCAGCGACTCTACCACTAGACCTTCACTGGTCCATGGGACAGTCACTATGAACTGGAAACAATTACCTCAAACACATTTTATGAATAATATATCATAAATAATGTTTGGTTGATAATGAATATCAACCTTTTCAAACCTGACCAATAAAATTCAAGAATGTAACTGATGCAAGTTTAAAACCCTTGTGGGCACCCTGCCACTGAAAAGCCACTGAAATAGCTTGATGAATGTTAGTATTAGCATCTGCTATGCAATGAATCTACTTAATAAAAAAAAATAGTACTTGCTACAAGGAATTGGAATGATGGATCCCCATGCCAATGAGTCAAATGTAATTAGCATTACCGTTACAAATCGCACAGATGTGTTCGAATAAATGAGAACATACATTTAGTCAAAAGCAAGAACAAGAAATGGTAACATGCTATGGTAGCAGTTCCTTTTGGTGGCATTATGTAATTGAATATCCGCCTCATGAAATCCATTTTATCAAATTGATAGAAACAAAAATGATTGCACCTTATTGAAGCTCGACAGTTATGGATCTCTAATCTGTTTTTGATAGCAAAAACAAAATGTTTTTGCTGGTATCTCTCCCCCCCAAAATAAATTTCGCTGAAAAATTATCTGTTCACCCTTTTTTTTTTAGGGGGGGGGGGGGGGGGGGCTCAGAAATTGATATTATCTTGCGCCCGCCCCCCCCCCCCCCACTTCTGAAGAGAAGCTTGGATCTGCCATAGATTCTAAAAAAAACTCTTTCACCCTTGATATGGAGTGATCTATGGTATCTTGGTTTCTCAAATCTACAAGGAAGATTATATAATGCACAGCTACAAGGATGTTATGACCCCTCCTTGCATGGCATGTTGGGGCAGGGAACTATTAAAGTAGCTTATGCGTGGGTATATAGAGGGCAGCACACTGAGCCAACAGGTAAAACGCTCTCGCGCGTACTAGCGTCCCTTGATGCGTACATCCGTACAGGAGCGTAATACCCTTTGGCTCAGTGTTCGCCAAGTTGCCTACTTCACGAACAACTATATAGCCACGCATGAACGTCTTTAAGCCGGGATGACATTAAGAGTTGTGGTGAGAAAAAGGTGTACATAAAACATAATGTGGGTGTTATTACATGATTGCATAGAAAGAGATTATCTGGTATTTTTTTTAAAGAGGGAGAGGGCGATGATGAAGAAGAAGTGTTAGTGGTATACCTTGGAGCCGTTTGTGAGTTTTTCAGTTGAAGGGCCCTCTCAGTGAATGTAACCATTGTGGTGATAACTCTGCATCAAACTCTGCACCAGCAAAATACACCGCGTAGGAAGAGCAGGGCGGGGCAGGGCGGGCGGGGCAAGGCAGGGGAGAGGGTGGTGGAACCAGGAGGGCAGAAACCGATGTGAAGGGGTATGCAAAAAAGCAGAGGAGGAAAGAGAGAGAGAGAGAGAAATGAGAGATGGTAGGGGAGGGAAGAGAGAAAGAAAAGGAGAGAGAGAGAGAGAAAGAGAGAGAGAGAGAGAGAGAGAGAGAGAGGGAGGGAGATGGAGGAAGAAGTTGCATAGCAAAGGACAATGGAAATAAGAAAGATAAAGTAATAAAGAGTGGAAGAATAAATAGCAAGCAATTGCAAAGGTATAAAGAGAAGCAGATGAGAGAAAGAGAGAGAGAGAGAGTGGGGAATGGATGAAGGAAAGAGAAACAGGTTTAATCATTGATGCCATTTTAAAGAGGTTATTAATATAATGAATTTCCAAATACAAGCTCAGTCACTGGAATCTTTCAAATCTAAATCACTAGTTGAATATCTTGTTTCTTACAGGTACAAAACACCACAATTTTGTAGTGCTTGAGCGATGTAACAACATTATCCAGTATCTAAACTATGCCCCCCCCCCAACTATTCCACGAATACAACCCTAACTATTTCTTCATGAAGAATGATTTTGATAGGGGAAATTTGTAATGATTACTAACATGGGAGTAACATTTGCAAATTTCAAATTCAAGATATCTGCATGTGCTTACGATTAGAGTAATGCACAACTTCTCAAAACATTCCTTGTAAAGAAATGAAAACAAACACACAGTGTAGGGGTGGAATGAGGATATATAAAAAAAGCCTTGTGTAATGGGTTCTTGCGCATCATTAAGTTTAACATCATCATACACAAAGGTGCCAATTTTGCAGGTTTGGTATGCCTTAGGTTGAAAAAAAAATTGTAGGAATTATTTAATGTACATAAGCAGGCATAATAAATTTGATTGCAGCATTTCATCATTTTTTGAATTCAGGATGGGGTTCACGAAAAAAATACATCAAAGTTTGAGCATTAAATTGGCAAATTCATAAAATTTCCTTAACGATATTGGCACTGTTTTGCTGCAATGTGTAATTAATTCCTTTTGCTTATAGGTTCTTATAAGAGTTATGACATATCTGTGTCATTATTTTGAGGACAAGCTGATTTGCACAATAGTTGAGAAAATTCAAAAAATTATTTTCGTTAATGAATGGAGAATATCCTAAATTCTACTCTTCATAACTGCTCATGCCCAAATTCACAAAATCACCACTAAATGACAAAACCCTCAGAAAAAAGACACTTCACACAAACGTGGGGAAAAAACACTTGAAAGTCAACAACACTCAAATGGAATAATAAAAGAACACAAAGATTGACGACAAAGCTTGTCTATCTACTACCAGTAGAGGGGGTGATTCCACTTGGGGAAGGGGTGTGATGGGGGAGTTTCTTTGGGGAGATTTTCTGAAGGCTTGTGCATGTATAATGAGGGGGTAGGTGAAGGGGAAATGACTAGTCCTACATATATACCAAAATGCATTTCATTGTGTTAACAACAAATTTAATCCCTTCTTAAAGCAAAAATATAAACACCAATTTGAATTTCAAAAATCCATAAAATAAAAACAAAATGTGAACCAGGTGGTTAGTATACAACTCAACTCTATAAGTTCTATATAGTCATTGGTGAAGTGTAGGGGGGGGGGGGGGGGTGTACGACTTAGACAGTGAAGAGGGTTGGAGTGCTATACAACTGAGCTAACAATCTACGGGTGATGGAATTGGAACAAGGAATACGGAACATGGGATTTATTTATCATTTGAAATGGTCACAGCTAAGTGCAGACAGTGGAATGATTGGAGTGGGAAAAAAAAAGATATTTTGGGATATGAATATTTGTAACAAGCTGAATACTACTTGATGCACATAGCTATTTACAAGCACCATTTCAAAATAAAGACTTGAAGTTCATTCAGAAGGACGTTACCTTCTTTTGCAGCAAATGAATACAGCCACGAGTAATACATCCAAATAAAAGAGATAAAATAAATGAATTTGAAAGTAAATGTATGTACAGAATCAAAGCTATAGAAAAAGGAATATACATGTATACTGTACATGTAACGGGTAATATGGAGACGTATCTCACCCATTAATATTCAGATTCCGTAATGTCATGAATTTCACAAGCACATTGCACTTATTTTCAATTTGTTATCCCCCCAGGAAAAAAAACCTTTCCACTATTGACACTTTCGATATGATCCAACAATTTAAAAGATTCAGTTCTTAAATCAAGCTGAATATGAAAACAGTGAATGGAAATATTTTCTATTCAAGGTATTTCACGCTTAAACATGTTTTATCCAAAGAACTTGTACCAATTTAAGTAAACACAGAGGTTTTTGTCAAAAGGAGAGTGCCGTGTGCAAATCTTGTGAAACCTGGAGGCTGTTTCTCAAAACCGTCGTAAGTCAGACTCCTTGGACAATCTATACAATCATGTGTTTTAGGATTAACACACGTTTCTAGAGGATGTCCGTGATGGTTTTCATTTGATGATTTCAAGAAACTGGCCCGTGGTCACTAGGGAAGGACAAAGGGTTCTTTCTATATTCTAAAATGATCTAAAGGGTTGTCGTGTGTTGGATTTTTTTTTGACTGATCCTGGATTTATATACAGGTAGGCCTGGTTTGGTTTGAAGACAAATAACAATAACAGAGATAAAGTACAGAACAAAAAAACGTAGAAGAAGAAGACGAGAAAGGGCAGAAGAGCATGAAATACCCTGCTTATGATCAAACTATACCCATAGAAGCAAGCAAAGATATATGGTATGACGCAGTAATGATAGTACCAAAACACTCCTGTGAGGAACTATTCCATATATTTCAGTTTCTTTGCAATAGTTTGTCGGCACAAATTTCTTTACTCAAATGTTGGACAACCATGATTTGGAATGTTTGAAGCAAATTGATTTTATTTAGCATCTATAAGAGGATTTTGTTATCTTTTGAAGTCTTTTTTCTATTCTGTTTGGTAGATAGAAATGGAATATGCAGAGTGAAAGATGCCGTTGTGTTCTAAGGCTACAAAATCTATACTTCAGTGGAAATATTTACTCAAGAATCATTTTCTGGATCGGTTTTCTTTTGTCCATTGAAAGTGTGGACAGATATTCATTATGTTATTCTAAAGGGTAGATCAAAGTAGAAAGACTAGAGATTGAAGAAAAATGCACAGTGGTGGTTAAGGTCACGGTGGGACAAGATAGATTCCCTTCCTTTGTTATTTCTCAGAAACACATGACTAGAACTGTTTTTAACTGGACTTACCTGTTGTTTCCTTCATATCTCACAGAGATAAAAATAGAGGAAAATAGATTTCTCCAGCAGAACAGAGAGTCCTAATGTTTCTTGCCCCCTACAGGGTTTAGGGCTTTTAAGGTAAGAACACTGATTATCAAATTGGTCTTAGGTCATCTACATCTAGTTTGCACCCCGACAATCCATGCCATTGACCAACACTGTGTATAACCTTTAAAAGAAATGGGATCACTCCAGAAAACTGGAAAGAAGAACTCCCTCCCTCGGTAGGGAAAAAATATTTCAAATTTTTGGGGGGCTACCTTTCATGCTTGCTGACATGAAAATAACACTCTTTAATTTGTTTTGCATTGAACTCTATGCAAATTTTTTGGGGTTCTTCATGACTTTCGGGAGCTCTTTTGGGCATTTCGGGGGCTACTTCACCCTGAGCCCCCGTGTATTTTTTCCCTGTCCCTCGCTTAACTAATGCTCCCTGATAAAGGAGGGTATATTCAACTTACCGGTTGGGAACCTATGCCGAACGCATGGGTCGGTTGAGGGCTGGCAGCGGGAACGTAGTTACCTCCCATTCCCTGGTCTTGGGAGCCGCCATAGATGTCCATAGGTCCCGGACTGTTGGTTGTGTTGTAACGGTTATTAACGGGTGAGGGTGACGGTGCATAGCTCTGTTGCTGGTAGCTATTCGGCATGACTGTGGTGGTCGACGATAACGACGATGGCAAGGACGATGGCGAGGACGGTGACGGCGAGGATGAAAACAGAGGTGGATGGAGAATATCAGCAACAACAGAACAAAAGAGGGGGTAAAATATCAAATTAGAAATGTCCTACATCAGTGCATAAAGTAACGCCCACACCAAAATGCAATTGGCATGATGCAACATATCATCATATTCCAAACATATATTAAAGATATATATCGTTAATACTACAAAGCATTCTACAAGCTCTTGGGTAGAAACAACAAGCACAAATGGAATAAATGAGGTATTCTATAACTACTGTATATCTTCTATTCTATTCTATACACAAGGGAAGGTGAATATAATACATTGATATGTGATATACCTTTTTGACAATTCTAAAGCTAATTCTACCATGGATTTATACAAGGTTAAGGTTATTTTGTTTATGAAACTACGGGTAACTATCTACGGAGCACACACAGCAAGCTTCGAACCCTCGATGTTGGGGAATGGGTGAAGGAGTTATATAATCATTCTACGTTCAATGGAACATGCCGCTATATGTGTATTTATGTATGCTATCTATTCTACATGATTTGACTTGACTTGGAGAGAGGAAGAAGAGAGAAGAATCTATGGGGACTCGGTGGAAGGTGCATTTCAAAGAAATATGTGCGAATCATAACTTTGGGACTTAGCTTCAGGAAAGGGGTGTATGAATGTGTTTGTGTGCTTTACATTATCGCCAGTGCTGATCAAGTAAATTTTGTCCATTACAACTTCCACTACAAATATTTCATATGAACTCTTTTATTTTTTAAACTTGATTTTCCCCTTCTTCACCAGACAAAATCATCTCTGTGAAAGTACAGTAACATACAGTGCTATTTCATGATAGCTAGTTGAACCCACTAGAAGTCAATCCAATGTAAATATGCAGTGACCTTTAACATTTCAAGTGCTTTTAAATTTAATTAAATTACACAATTATCTAATTAACAAGCTCCACTAGTCAATATACACCAGGCTGATTAAATCCAATTTTCTTCTACCAGTTCAAGGTATTATGTGTTTCCTTTGGCCACCCAGTACAGTTTGTGATTATTTCTTTAGCCACCCTGTAGAGCTAACAATTATTTCTTAACCACCCTATACAGCTAACAATTATTTCTTTAGTCACCCTGTAGAGCTAACAATTATTTCTTTGACCACCCTGTAGATTTAACAATTATTTTTTTGGCCACCCTGTAGAGCTAACAACCTTATCTTAGCCATCCTATACAGCTAACATTTTTTCTTCCTTCTATTAAAGATTTAAAAAAGTGCAGAAATCTCAATTTTGTTTAAATAGATCGACCTACCAGGAGGCTGGTGAAAGTCCCTCCCATATTCAGGCTGGTGTGACATGGAACTAGGCTCGTTGCGAGGAGGAGGAGGCGGGGCTGAGCGACCCGCGGGGCCGGCAGACCCATAATCAGGGTACGAGTAGGTAATCGGCGTCTGGCCTCGACGGTCGGGCGTGGGAGGGACCCCAGCCGCCGGCATCATTATACCTGGGGCGTATGTCGGAATCCCTGATAGAGGGGGTAACACACAAGGGATAGGTGATCATATACCCTCGGTGTATTTCTTCTACAGCCCTGGTCGGCAAAAGTCCGTCGTAGCATAGGGGACACGGGCCTGGGTCCATAGTGACTATACAATCTTAGGATGTAACATTACATTAAACTATTCCTAACTATTACATAAGTTTGTCTTCAGCACATGTGAATTATGTCCTAGCCCCACCCACTCTTAAAAGTATGTGCCTTGGATTATTGAGAAAAGGCATGAGGTAGGGAGGGGAGGGGCAGGGGAAGTTAGTAAATGGTTACGTTTTGTTATGCAAAATCCAGCTCAGGTCTACTCCAAATCTCTCTCTAGAAAGGCAATCCTCTAAAAATCACACTCACAAAATTTGCTAACATAGTAATATACTAGCTATCTCATATAGAAACTATAAAGCATTACAGGAAGTATTATAAGAATGGAAACTTTTACAAAGTCACTATTACTAGGTTAACAGTACAACTGAAGAGCACAGCCTCATAATTTGGAAATATCTTTGGTTAAACAATTATTTTGGAGAAATTAGGTATTATATTCCTTTGGTCAATTCCATTGTCAACCACATACTTTCCACAAAAAAAAACTTCAGTATCAAGAGCTAGTAAATGCTTTTATGGGATTTTTTGTTATTGGTTATTTCCAAAGACTTGTACCTTTATGGATAATGATTAGGAGCAGGCCTGAACGAGATAAAGTAATAGAAATAGGTAGAGAGAGAAGGGGAGGGGGAACTAAGATGAAGCATGCATATGGGGAGCTTGATTGCAAAGGTTTAGGTTAGCGTTATTTGGATGGAAAGATTAGTACATATCTTAATAAATAATGTGCACATACACACAGCATGACATAAGTATATTAAATTTCATACTACTGCAGAAAACAAAATGATCTCCCTTCTTATTCTAGCCCCCACCTTTCAACTTCATATATTGAGCTCAGTCTGAGCTCCCTGTCTCCATCTCTCTACCCCATTCACTTGTGATCTCCATCTCTCTCATACTCCATCCCCTCTCTCTCCCACCCCTCTCTCTCTCCCTACCCCCTCTCTATTCTCTATCTCTCTCTTTCCTTTCTCCATTCAAATAAATTTGTACAGCTTTGCACAACAACATATCCTCTTTTTTTAAAATTGAAGTTCTGTTATGTTTCTAGCCACCAAATACAAATCAAACTAATACATTTTCAAAAGAAAAGCGTGAGGATAGTTACTGCTGTTCAATAGCAGGGGAAGTTAAATGAAAAAGTCCTTCCTCGAAAGCTTACTTCGCTCAAAACTCATGACTTCATCAGATTTTCATTGGTATCTAAAAAAAAAAAATAAGCTGCACCATCTATCAGGCATTGAAGCCACTGTATCAGATATACTTCTACATATTGCCACAAGGGATCTTTGGAACTTTGCAAAGACTGATTTTAAAGACTGCTTTTAAGCCACTACACAACAACTGGCGCTTTTCAAGACTTTGCACCAAGGGACTAACCAACCAACCAACACAGGTGTGAATAAGATGGGACTGTAGCAGAAAAACGGACCAGTCATGTGCACGTCGTATATATTAAATATGGAGAACACAACCAACCAACCAACCAACCAACAGACCGACTGAACAGCAAACCTCATGCAAGTGAGATTAAAAACACACCCAAAGTGGAAAATATGGAGTATATTGACAAAGGAGCACCTGGGGAAAATCAAGCACAGCAAATACAAACTGCATACATCCATCACTACATGTACATATTGACTTGGATAAATACACATCTGCATAGTCCCATGTGTTAAAAACTTTGTTATATATGATGGCTAATGCCTATTTCCTTTTTAAAAAGTGAGGAGGAGAGCGGTTATTTGCTTTTGCAACATCTGTTTCTCAGTCGGTAAAGTAAAGTCTGATGAATACATTTTAGAAATGGAATCTAAGCAGAATATAGTGCCTCAGCAGCAACCTCCACCAAAACCACCTTCAAAGTAATCCCAAAAATATATTGAGCTGTTTTTTTTTTAATCAGGGGGCACCTCCTGTTACATATGAGCATGTTCCGAGTATATGCCTGTTTTTGCATTATTTCAAATAATAAAATGCATCTATATGGCCCACCAGTGTACCATTTTGCACATAGTCAGTTTAACTTTAAGGGGAGATAGGGATTCTGCCGCAAGCACAAAATAGAAAATAATAATAAATAAAAAATATGTAAAGAGCAGCCATCTACATGTATGCACCGACCACACCCTACAAGAGGAAACCATCCAGGAATTGGGATTAATAGGAATTAAGCGGATGACAATATTTGGAGTTGCTGGTGTCTTTTTTTTTGTTTGATTACCTGAGTGAGGATGCGACGGCATGCCCATAGAGGTGCCTCGAGGGGGTCGACCTCTGTTCCCTGAACCACGCCCCATCCCGCCGCCGCTTCCACACATGGCGAAGGGAGGCTGCTGGTAAGCTAGGGGGGAGGCACGGGAGCACTCCGTTAGATTTTCATGAAGTCCCACCCATTTGATTTTGTGTCACTCTTATTTAAACCTCTCATACAGACCCACATATCTACTTTTGTGTGACCACTCTTATCCACCTCTAAAATGGGATGTAGACACAGTCATACCCATATATTTTGTGTTATAATCATCCAACTCTCAAATAGGAAATATTTGTTTACATAGTTTACATAGTTTCACCAATTAAATATGATTCTCGTTCATATCTTACATAAGAAGTACAATTTGAATGCTATCTTCATCACCTAAGATTGGATGTACCATAAGTTTTGAAAGGATTTTACAGCGGGATCAACTGGGTTAACAACTTGCCTCTAACTAAAAAACACGGACAATTAACTTGATTTCTAATAATATTGTACACTACAGCCTCTACCCTCAATTTCTATTTTAATCAATCAATGCATATATAACCCTTAAATGACTTGTTTAAAGATTACCATCACTATATCTTGACTACAAGTAAATATACATACGTAGTCCTATACTTTTGAGTTTCTTAGACAAAACTACTGGTATTCCCATGGTTTGAAAGAAAATTTTGGGAGAAGATGTTTATACATGAACATATTCTATTTTCACAAAAATAAGGGAATCATGTAGACATTTGAAGAAAAGGAATTCAGATAATATTCACAATAATCTCTTTAAATGTAAAAATGTGACATGATAATAACAGAGAAATTAGATAAAAATACATGCTTTGGGGATACCATAGCATCATTAAGATTCTGATGAAATAGTGTTATAAATCATATGAACATGCTTTAATTTTATAACTGGCTTTCAATAATACCATGAGTTAGTATAATTTTAATTAATATTAAGGTCTGCTTTTTAAACAAAATGTCGCTGAATCCTCAAAAGAATAAGAAAGTGGTTTTAAAATCAAAAGGAAGAATAAAATGTACATTTCTTAGCATACACAATTTTGTGAGAATAACCAGACCTATTTCATCCCAAGTTTGGTAAGAAAAAAACTCCAGAAAAACCCCCTAAAAATATTGCATCAAAATCTCACTAAAAGAAGAAGAAAAAAGCACAACAAAAAATGCAATCCATATTATACCATCACAGCCACATGTCTTTTATATTTATATAAGGCAGTCCAAATCTCAGAGAGAATAGTTTTCAGGCAATTATTGCCATGGAAACCTCATCACAGCAACCAGTCCAATGAATAAACCTTGCCTGGGTGTTCCAATTAAGTGTCTCATTGCAGTGTTAAAGGCATAGAGGTAAAGTATCATGACCAAGGTGCACCATCACATACGCCGCAAATGAAAAGAAAGAAAAAACACTGCTTTCAACATCCTCCTCAAAGAGTTAACAGGAGCCAGGTCATTCAAAGCAAAATAGCCAATGTAACAAATTTTAAAAAGATTGTTTCCTTCTCTCATGCCGCAAGCTGCCGGTCCATTTGCTGATGGGGAGGAGGTGTAGAAGAGACAAAGAAATAGCTAGGAGATGTCGCACTTAAGACTATGCCGGACCACAACTGGAAGTCGCAACAGTCTTGCCGCTTCTCCAAGACAAACATATTGAAAATGTTTTAAAATATAAGTTTATCCTCCAGACAATTGAGCAACTGGAATACATTTACAGCTGCCTTAAATGATTGACAGAGTTTAGACATACATGTTTGCCAAAATTTATGGTAGAGGAATAAATCCCGCTGACAAAGTCATGAGCTAAGCTGTAAATTCATCTCAAGCCTTAATGGGTACAAAGGTAAAGGAGAGTTAAGTAATATGGTGCAATGTCAGGCAAGTCATCTCTATGATATACGTTCCAAAATCAATTCAACAAATTGAAATATCTGTACTGCTAGCTTTTAATCAATTGAATAATCAAGGATGACAAATGACAAAGACCAGAAAGAGACGAATCTAAACTATTTCTCTCTGAATCAATGCGTTACCATGGTTATCCAATAACAGATGGGTGGTAATGATGCCTATTTCCTACATTAAAACACTACTTCAATTCCATAGTACCTTCTCATAGTAGCTACTACATTTCTTTACGAAACAGATCGAATCCCTAAACAACATCTTTAAATATATTCTCATATATATAATCAATTAAACTACAATTTAATCTACAATTCACAACAATTTTATCAATGAACTGAAGCTCTTTCGGAGGGTATATGCCAAGGAAGACAAGTTTCATGAATGAAGGCAGTAAGTCACTTCAGTCACAGGATGATGGGAAAGAGGTAGATTTTTGGAAAGTATTAAAGAAAGAAGAGGGCATGCCAGTCATGTCACAGTTAATAACATAAGTGGAGAGTCAGAAAGGCACTGAATCACACGTCTTTTATAGGGTAAATGCCTTTCTTGCACTAAGCAGACGATATGACAACAGAGCATGAAGTTAATAAATGTTAGAAAGAGCACTCTTTATTTAGAGAGATGTATTCACAAGAAAGGGAGTCACGAACTGTATGGATTAGTCAATTATATCGGTGAATAAAGGGATGTGTGATATTAAGATATAAGGCTTTTAAAGATTTTTTTTCTTCTGACTTTGTTTTGGAAAAGGTTATCTCATCATAATTGTGGGTAGCATGAATATATGCACTATCAGAATGGATCCTAGATGATAATAATAGTTAAAGTTCAATATCATCTTGGAAAGGAAAGTCATTATTTTCCATCATGCAAAAAGAATTCTTCTTAAATGGATGGAAAAAGTCAGAATAAAATATTTTGCCACTTAAATCTTTGTTGCTATGTTTTGAGATCAATGTAAAAGAATTGGTCAATGTTTCAACTCACTACAACCACGACTGCATGCTATAGAAGGGCTGTTATAATCTAGAAACATACTCATAATGGCACTAAGCTGGGATGAGGGTTGGGGTCACTACAACTACATCAATGCTTCAAACAACGTTTCATATCATAGTCCACACCCATTCTACATCTTAGAGGCATGTAAGCCAAAGCTAAAGGCCTTGTTCACACTTGATTTGGTAAACCTTTTTTTAACTTCTTTGTCCTTCTTCTGCAAGTTTAAGTTTTGTTCAGGCATGGCATGAACAAATGCCTCTAAAAAAAACCTGCTGCAGATGAATGAAACAATTTACGTTTTGAACACCAAGTGGGTGTTAGACAAAATGCCAATGCAACAAAGGTATTATTGTTTATGACATTTTATTTTTCCATTGTTCTTTCTTTGTGGTTTACCCCCTCATGTGTCAACAAGACTTTAGTGAGATCTTCTTGAGTGTCCCAGTATGCAAGCAAGATCAAGGAAACTTTCCTCACGTCAAAAAAAAAACTTCACACAATCTTTGCAAAATCATGGTCGATCAAACGACACTCCATGAAAAAAAAAAAACGTATGAAACGTTGTTCTGCCTGGTAGATATAATGCACGGCCATACACTCCCTATTGGTTGAATAAGCTATGCAAAAAATGAGAAGAAAAACATACAACCTGACTACACTTACCTGAAAAGAAAGGGGGAAAGGGGGCGTATGTGTAACCCCGCCCAAGTGGCCCTATCGTGAAATTAGGAGCCGCGTATCCTGTGAATGATGATAAAACAAAAGAACACAAAGTTTAATAGGTAGCATAAATAAATTTAAAGACAAGCTGGAAATAACTTATCCGTGTACTGTGTAGGAGTTGGCCCAAATTCCTCAAATCATAAGTTAATATATCTGACAGTGATTTCATCACTTTAGAAGTCATGTCAAAATTAGAGACCAAGATACACATCAAAACGATGCCAATTTTTAAAAAAAGGTGATACTTTTTGTAAAGACTCCACAAGTACTACAGACAATTTGCTGGATCGAAATAAGGATTAAAAGATATTAAAAGATATGATTAGAGGGCTTGTAAAATGTATTGCAAAAATTAATCAAATATAATAATCAGAGAAGAGAAAAAAATTAGAAAAAAAAATACACAGTGGCTGAGATGATGATAACAAGCTGAAAGAAATTTAAAAGATAAATTAATTCACAAATCTTCAATATATCTTCAGCGATCGCTGCAAAGGATGAAACTGGTGAAACAAATATATATATATATACCTTGCTCCACCGAGAATACAATACCTGATCACATTGGCTAGACAAATCATAGTAGAGATCTTTTGAGAATACAAAGCTATTATATTTCATGCTTGAAAAGAACACACAAAAAAATCATATATATCAACTACTAGCTATCTACCTTTACCACACAAGCCTTTATTTTATACTTTATCCTAACTATCTAAAGTTAGTTTTTAATTCCATTGAAATGTGCCATATTCACAACATTTATGCAGTCATTTTTCTCAACTTTCAAAAGACCTTACCAACCACAAGAAAATCAAAACGCTAAATTGTAATTGAATTGCTCAAATCAAAAAACTTAAACTAGGAAAATCATAAAAGAAGCGGGAAGATGAATAAGAGCAACTGATTGAAAACGAGAAGATCAAAAACGACAGGTGTCCAAATTAAAAAAATAAGAAAAGAAAATGTGAACCAGTGATCATTTGCCTCCCTCCTGCCCGAAACGAGGGTGGACGAAGAAATACGATCAAAGGAAAATAAAACAAATAAAACAGGAATTTGAGTGAGTGTCGACGAGTTTGCGTCGCCGATGTTGGAAACTTGCCTTTGACATTGCCCACCGTGTCCATGATTAGCGGCACCGAGGAAGTAAGACCGGGTTGGACTGAGCACATCGAGGGCGAGTTGTTGTTGTTTGTTTGTTGATGTTGGGCCTGCAATAGTCTCAACTCCAGTAGACTTGTATCTGTGTTGCTGGGGTCTATATATATGTGATATAATATTGGTGCGTTGGGCATGATTTGGTTTGCACTCAATTTCTTTCTTAAAAAAAGCTCACGTAAAAGAGAGGTTAAGACTTTGGTTTGCTATATCAAACAGCAACCAACCAATGTTTTAAAGACTTTGGCTTGCTATCAAACAACAACTCTTTGTTCAGAATGGTTCTTTCCTAGTCAGTGGAAAGAGAAGAATAGACAGAGATAGTTTATTATGCTTTAAGGTTTAGGAACAGTATTATAACTAACATTCTAATCTCTCAATTAATATTTTATCAAAATTGATGTCTTTAAGAAACAGGGATATAAGATCCTATGTACTTTTATAATTTTTAAACTTCTAGCTAGAAAATTATTTATTTTACATTTATTTCCATTTATGAGACTCACGTTTATTCTTTAATAAAATAAATCCATCCTTGTCAATGCTTCTGACGGATCTCTTCAAATATTCACTTGTTCAAAAACCTTTATACATTTTAATAAATCTCGTAACAATATCCAATGTGTACTTAACTGTTCAATATAACATTGTTATACATTTACAATTAAATATTTAAAATATACTAATAAAATTACTTGTTTCCCCTTTCAGGTTGGTTTTAATTTGTATCATTTATAAACATACATTATCCTTACCCTAAGTGACATAATCGTTTTGAAGAGAACCATTATTGTACGACCTAATGTGAAATATATGCTACTAATGTTTGTCAAAAAAGGGCCTTCCATTTAAAAGACATGTCATTCTATACAAAAATGAAAAGTGAACAAGACTTTTCATATGGAATTCGTTTTTTACAATCTGTAGTTGAAACATCATCTTATCATCCATATATTACAGTATCCTTTCTAGTGCCCTCCCAGCCCTCACATTCCTGTATCCAGTTCAATGGTGCGTAATAACACTTAGTAGGCATAATATATTACTCGCTATTAAATTATTAGGGGGTAATTAAATTAAAAGGCAAGATGGAATTAATTGGCGGGTGCTAAGTAAGAGTAGCGCATCTCTCCCGTTTTCACAGATAATGCATTTTTCATACCTGGTGCGGTAACAAAATTTGATTTTCTTTCTGACTTTGAAATTTCCTCGACTGTATTAAAAATGGCACATATCAAATGAAATCAATTAAGTGTCTACTGCTAGCTACGAGTCTGCCTACGTCTAATCTACATCTATACAAACCTATTATACACGTGTTAAAACCATGCTTGTACAATGTGTCTACATATATGCTACCTAAATGAGGATGAATTTCTAGTTACTACAGGTAACAGAATAGCTCCAATATGATAACCACTTAAGCCATACTGATATCATCATTGACGACGAGGGATCGACATCATATCTAGCAGAAGTATAGATTTCTCTTATCTATATCTTGACCTCGTAATACTATTCACCTATGATGACGATAAGACACTTAACGTCTGAACTGTTCGCAGGAATGGGGATATTGCGTTTCTTTTTGAGAATGTTGTCAGAACATTCCTTGGCAATCTTGAAATGAACAACATCTTATTCTTTATGGAATCTTGTTTTTTCAAATGTTGTGCATTACACATACCAAAGTAATTAACCTGAATTGATGATGACTTATGTTGAAACATGCACGGCACATCACTTATTATTATGATGTGACAGATGCTATTCTTTTTATATGCAGTTCCTAATAACCAAAAGAAATAGTGTTTATTCTTTCAGCATGCTAAGTCAAAATTTTAATTCTTGGAGCCTATTTGCAAATGTTAGCGAGGACAGGCCTTAATAAAATATAAATGAAAACCTTTGGATAGAAAGAACTTTGCTCCAATTTAACAATCACCCAAATCTACAATCAGTAAATCAAATTTATGATTACACTTCACACGATGTGTAACTTTCAAATTTTAGCACAACTATTAATTCAGCGCCAATAATTAAAGATGGGAAATATTTCTTTCACATATTTTGGATAATTTAAATGAAAAATACTGCAGAGGTTATAACTATGGTCTACTATTGAGCTGTACGACAACAAAAATTGTTTTGTATTCTCTACCTGATTATACAAATTCTACAACCACTGCTGCCCTGTATGTTCCTAATATACACACCTTATGATATATGGATAGAAAGATAAATATGGTAGGATAGACAGATGGATGAATTTGATTGAAAGGAGGATAGATGAATAGAGAGATAATCGTCGCTGGTTTCCATACTGCTTAAAGACCACGCCTATACTTGTGTCCAAGAAACCAGTGACAAAATGGAAGACAAAGAGGGGGTAAACCAATGAATTGATGGCTAGCTAAGTGGAATAGATAGATAGATAGATAGATGGATGGATAGATAGATAGACAGATGAACAGAATAGGAACAAAATAGATAAGTTGATAGACAAATAGAATGGTAGGTAGATAAGAGATAGAAAGATAGATAGATGGATGGATAGATAAATAGATATATAGATAATGAGTTGTAAATAAATAGAAAAAGAAGAAAAAGGAAGAAGTGGAGATAGCGATAGGAAGATAGATAGATATGATTGACAGATAGAAAGATAGAAGAACTGATCGATAGATTGAAGGAAGGGATGTGTTGATGGGTAAATGTTTGGATGAAGGAGAGGCCCTGTTTACACAAACAAATCCCTGTTTTCACAAACACATGGTAGAACCAGCCTTGTAGCCCTTACCATAGATGCCGTATAGATTGCGCATCATTGCCGCTCTGTTCTTTGCTGCATTCTGTGGCATCATCACTTCTTTGGGCTGGGCCTTCTTCACCTCCACCTGCCAATCAAAAAAAAAAGAAAGAAGAATATATAATTACAAATAATAATAATAATATTCCGCTTTTATATAGCGCTTAATACATCCACGATGTCTCTAAGCGATTTACAGATATACTATTACCCCGGTCATTGGATTCAATACTTGCCCGCACACACTGTGTGCACAATCTCTACTCCCTAGGAAGCATTCAAGCCAGGCATTACTTGACGCTAAAAAACTGTTTGACCAACAGAGCATTACATTAAAACAATACTTGGTGTATTGGTAGATTATCAATGAGATTGATTAGATGCGTTTAGATCTCATCCTTTCTTTGAATATTTCTTTGTTTACCATGGTGGACAATGAAGGAAATTTATTTCTATATAAGTCATTACAATGAAAGCTGTACGAATAGGAATGTAACAATTAAAATCTTTCTTAATCCGTTACTAGTCTAAAGATCCTACATCCTTCTTTTTTTCATTAGAGTGAACAGTTATGCAAATTTATCATACATTTCGTCGCTGTTTTCACGAAGTGACGGTAGTGAAAAAAAATTGCATTCACTTTGCGTGACGATTTGCCTCACTACCGTCACTTCGTGAAAACAAGGACGATTTACATGAATTCATGCAACTATTGTAATCTTTTTTCATTTCTAAATCACCTATCTTACCTCTTTCTTCTTTTATTGAAGTGCTTTATGTCTATGCAAGTTTGAAATGTGTTACATGATTATATTAAACTTTTCTGAATTCACCTTTTGTATATTTGAACATCTTACCTTTCCCCCTTTTAAACCTTGGCCTAATCTATATCAAGGAATCATATAGGCCTATATGAATGTCTTTCTCATATATTGTTCAAAATTATTTGCCTTCTACATATATCACAAAAATCATTACACAAATGTCAACAGAATATTTCAGGAAATGTTATGTCATATTGCAAACGAATGTGAAAATATGAAAGAAGATGAATGTTGTCAACATAAAAATGATAATAAAAAGTCAAGGAGACTACATGAATTGAAAGAGAAAGGAATCTACCGCTAAAGCTAATGGATTGATTGCTAGGTAAGTGAAGCAATGTTGGGATGAGAACAACTGATAGACAACAGAGAGATAAATATGACGGATAAACATGTATGCGTAGACAGGAAACGAATAGAGGTTAAATATTTAGCTATTCCAGCATTAATTCTCTCAGCACTTTCTCCGTTCAGCCATTTGAGAATATAATTTTTAAAAGAAGACCAGTATTGCCTCACTAGTGGGAACAACAGTGCTGAAGGCTATAATCTAGCTCAATTATTATTTATCCCATCTAATGAATGGTAAACTCATCTTTGTAACAAGTGAGAAATAGATGCACCTTTTATTTTAAGAAACATATCCCAGAATAATTGGCATTACCACTGATCAGGTTGTTATGACAAACATCTATGATCTACAATCAGTGTAAGAAGGAGGGAAAACAGTCTGCATGGGTGGAAAACACATATTTAACAAGGAATGAGCATTATTCCTCTAATCGAGTCATAATTTCTTGTGGATATTTCTCGTCTTGCATGAAACAGTGCCTTATAGACTATGTTTCATCTTGAAACACAACATTTGATCACTCTGAGGACGAATGGCATTGCAGAGGAAAAATGAAAGATGATATTTCTCGGTCCGGGATGAGTCTCTCTTCGCTAGATCAAGGAGATCTAGTGGGCTAAAAGAAAAGGCTCTTCCTATCCTACCCCCCCCCCCCCCAATAAGCAGCGTGGAGTGCATGGGCCGAGTGGCGGCGAGCGTAAGGTTCTCATGCTACCGTTCTCTCTACCTAGCCAATCCGATGGGGATCATAAAGCGAGTGAGCATGACACAGAGATGAGAAGGAGATTGAGAGATAGAGAGGGATGGATGGAGAGATGAGAGAGAGAGAGAGAGAGAGAGATGGAGAGAGAGAGATGGAGAGAGAGAGAGAGAGAGAGATGGAGAGAGATGGATGAAGAGAAAGAGAGAGAGAGAGAAGAGAGAGAGATGGAGAGAGAGATGAGAGAGAGAGAGAGAGATGGAGATGGAAAGAGAGAGAGAGAGAGAGGAGATGGAGAGAGAGAGAGAGAGAGAGAGAGAGAGAGAGAGAGAAAATAGTGGTAGAGAGAGGATATGAGATTTACATAGCTGAACATAGACAAACAGTGGGATGGATAGCAGATGTGGAGAGAGAAAGACAGAGAAAACTAGATGAACAGACAAAGATAAACAGACAGAAAGAGAGAGAGAGAGAGAGAGAGAGAGAGAAAGAGAGAGAGGGAGAGAGAGAGACAGAATGAGTAGAGATAGAGGTTAAGAGATGAACAGAAAGCCAAGAGACATGGGGGGAAAAGGAGATGAAGAGGGAGAGAGATGTACAGTGAATGCAGGTTAAGCCAGGTCAGAGAAACAGAGAGAAAGGTAAGGAAACGTAAAAACAAAAAATGAATTTGAAAAGTGAGAGAGAAAGAAATACAAAAAAGAAGAGGATGAGAAAAGAAGAAAATGAATGAAAATGACTATTTGACAGAGAAGATATATCCAGTGGTGAGTGGTGTAAATGAAAATGATGTTCGAATAACAATATACATGCTCAAGAGTTATGGAGATGATAATGATAATTACACGAAGCAATCGATAAACAGGTGATTACAAGTGATAGTAACAAAGATGACAAGTCAATTCATTTAGCTATGTAAGGGGTTTGTATCAATTTTTTTTTTCAAGTTCCTTTTCCTCTTTTCCATTCTTTCTTTCTTTTCTTTTTTTCTTCTTTTCCTCATTTAATTGTTTGTTGTTGTTTGTTTGAGGGGGAGGGGCGTTAGGGTGTTGTGCCTTGAATTAACGAAGACAACTGATAAGGGCCGGGGAGAGGGTGGGAAAGGGGGGGGGGGGGTAGTATAATCTTCTTGTAACATTTCATTCCCCCCTTCTACCTTTCTTTCTCCCACTCTACCCCCCTCCCCCACCCCCATTGAAAGGGGAAAATCAATGTCACTCCTAGCATTTGACTAAAGAAGACCATAGATGAGTAGGAGGGAGGGAGGGGGGGGGGTGGAAGGGAGTTGTCCCATTTTCTTTTCACATTCGTCCCCCCCCCCCCCCCCTCCCCTTCTTTCTCTTCCTTTTCCTTTTTTTGTTGCTGGGGGGATGCTGACATGCCCTGTAGCTATGCCTGCCACTACTTGTATCTATTTTGAATTGTTGAAATTGAAGCATGCTAGCAGCTCTAATCACAAGATGGAGAGGAAGATGATGTAAGCAGACGGGGGAACATGAATGTACATCAACCGGCGGAATGCGACTTTACCAATTTGCCATCTAGTTCATGAAAATGCTCCTCACAGACGCTGTCCACTGTCTTCTCGTTGTCAAATATGACGAAGCCGAAACCTGTGAGATGAGATGAAAAAGGTTGAGAAAGGAAAAGAACTCCATTAGACACAGTTGGAAATGTATAATACTTCATACATTACATTTACATCAAACATTCTCATCTCCAAATGTTTTATATAAAAGATTTAGCATCACAGCAATAAACTTGAAGAAATCAAAGTTAAGTTTATACTTATAGTTGTTTTAAAAAGAGAACACTATGAACATCACATATCAGTTATCACAGATCCTACAACAGTTTGAATCTAGTTCAATGTGAAAATGAATGAGGGTGATGAAGCAATGAACATGAGTTAAATTTTTCATGAACAATAAATGAAAGTCAAATCAATTCTCATTGACCCTTTTCTGTCAATCAAAAAGGGCTAAAGTTAAAGCTCTCATATAAAAAAACAGTCTGTCAATTGACAAATAACCAGAACCATTCAAAAAGAAGAAAACTCGAAAGAAACAGTAAATCAATGGTAATAGTAATACTAGAAAAAGTCGGACAATTATGTTTCCATTAACTATGATGCCACTTTTCATCCCTTTTCTTGACATTTTTTGACAACCCATCCATAGACACGTTCATTTAAGATATTAACAATGTGGGTGTTTAAAAGTCCCCTAAGTCAAAGACAATTGTTACACCCTGGAGCCATAATCAATCACCTTCTTGTCCCTTCTCTCATAACTCTTTCTGCTTTTCATACCTTCCTTAAATACAAATTCTTCCACCCATGCTCTCTCGTTCTTTCTTGTTCTCTTCCTCTCTATTTCCTTTTCTTTCCTTCTCTCTCTGTCTCTCTCCCTGTCTCTCTCTCTCTGTCTCTCTCTCTCTGTTTCTCTGTCTGTCTGTCTGTCTGTTTCTCTTTCTCTCTCTCATTGCTGATATTGTTATTTTACAAGACTTCATCCTCATGTTAAAACTTGAAAACTTTTTGTTGCATGACATGATATGAAACAATTACAGGGTTGAAGGCAAACATCATATAGAAGAAACAAGGGTTTCGGTATCGTTATGACAAAACATTTGAGATAAAGAATTAGAGTCAATTCATGAGCACCATTCCCTTTTCCAAAACAAATTTCTTTTAATATATTTCTATAATCTTGTGTTGATGACCCTTTGTTATATTTCTTTTTCTACACAATGTGTTCATACAGTATTTCCTATATTTATATATTTCTTTATCTAAATATTTCCTCCTGCATAAAAAAGGCTGTTTACCCCTCTCCGTTATATCTACCACCCTCTCCCTCCCGCCATACTACCCCTGAGTTGCCTAGGGAGGTTTTAGTATGAGAATGTCAAGCATCTAGGTCATGACCAAATATTTTCATTCATTAGTACGGCTTCCATGCTTGTATGTCATGTTCTAGCCTAGATCCACACTCACACACACAGACAGACAGACAGAAAGCCAATATCTCTGATGTTGGCAGGTTTGGGGGGTTGGATTGACTAGTGGAATGTGAGATAAAACATCTCGTCCATTTCTTGTAATCCAGAAATGACAGGAATGACAATGATGCCGAGAGGATGCATGATTACAGAAGACAACCCCCCTCCCCACCCCCCCCCCAAAAAAAACAGAATGCAACATAGGGAATAGAAATGACAATGAGAAAGGAGGTTGGGTCAGAAAACTTCCTTTTCATGAGAAAATCTAGGAAAATAACTACCCAGTATACAGTCTCTCAAATTTCTTAAAAGAACTTGTGGTAGATGCTTATGGCTGATAGGAGCACCTTATCATCTTTCATATTTTCTCCCATCATTCTTTTTCAAAATGGATTCTATGGATCTAGTAGATCTAGTGGAACTATTTGGACGAGGGAAAAGTGGTCCAGAGTGAAGGCTCTTGAATCTTTCATCTGTTTGGAGCCAGAAGGGCATTGTAAAATTGAAAGACATTTTTTTTTAAAAGAAAGAGAAAAGATGATCTATAACAATCTTCAGATGCAATGAGTCTACTGCTCTATCATTCCTTTAAACAAAATCATAACCATCTTTCCACTCGAGAGGCCCTACAGCCTCCCTCCATTTCTTTCATTTCCTCTCACTGTTACCGGAAGCTGGTCTAATAGAGAAGTCGGATAGTCAGCTGTTGGCCCACCATGTCTCAACACCCTTTCTTGATCCTATACCAAACCCAATCTATTCAGGCTACCGCCATTCAATGCTGCATGGTAAGGACACTCACACCTCCCCTAGAACCCTGACACACTGGCAAAAACCGATACCAGACCGACAACAGTCGACCCAATGCTAGACAATCACACCTCGCGCCGACCCCAGTCATACCCACGACACCGATACCAGTCTGTACAAGAGACTGAACAAGAGACTGTACAAAAACACTTCATCTACTCAAAATGGCTGAACTTTTGTTGATTATCGGTTGCTTTGGAGTTGGTTTGGACGTAAGTGTGACTGGGCTATTACTGATTCCAGTACCATCAAGTCTAGCCTTGCGCTAGTCTCTCTTATCCTTTTCTTTTTATCATGATATTTCACATGCTTTCCATCAAATGAGGAGCATTATAATCACCCAATCTGAATTTCGCATAATTTCCCCATGTTTGGTTTTCTGTTGCTCTTTCAATTATGTGATTTCTATTCTATTCCTCTTTTAAAGTAATAAAACTATCTTCAGCAGGTTTAATATATCTTTTGAAGGGAAAGAGGATTTTAATGACATCGATATTCCATTATGAATAACAAACTTCTCCAGGCTTGAAGAAGACTACAGCAGTCGGCTTTCAGCAAAGTGACAAGGCAGCTTCACAATGGTGTGATTCGTCTGACCTAATATCAATAACACCTCCCTCTCTAGGCAACGCCTGCTCAACCTCGTTCCTCTCTTTTGTCCGTACAATATCATAACACGACCAAGGATAGCTCTTATTATCGTTGCAAACCACAAATGGCAAGAGACAGTAATATCATTAGAACTTGGCTGGTTATTGGTTTACCGTGTAATGAGCAATTATTCTGAAGAGCGGGAAAGAGAAATTGTCAATTTCGACTAAATGAGCAGAGAATAGATTGAAAATTAGAAGGCAATGGATGTTGTATCAGGTAGGGTAGACCTTAATTTAAAAATGGGATGAAGAAATATTGTTCCTGAATCATTAGATTTAAACCTTAATACGGAAATTTTGTATTCATACTTTTATGAATGTACAATCTCTTCATCCTGGTCGCATATCAGATTGATTAAACAGAAGCACAAATGTCTCATTCGCATTGTGTTTTCCACACAGATTCATATTTGCTGATAGAGAGATACAACATTGTATCTTTAACCACAACATGCTATGCATGCAGGGAGGGCCGAGGACACACGATGGCACGGATCGACAAACACCCAACTCTTCCTTGCGTCTATTTTTGTTTGATTGATTTTCAACACGTCATCAGCTGCCTTCCACATGTAACGGGGCGCCCTCTCACAACCAATTAGTGCAATCCAAAATCAATTAAGAGCTTATTGGCTTTATTAAGCTTCGGCAGCTGTTAGGCTCATTCTCTATCGGCTTGTCCTCACACTGTTGTGTAGAGCGGGGCTGTCGACAAAACTTGGGGCGATCGATATTAGCTCGATTCGCAATATTACATGTGTTTATATAGAGACTGTTTTAAATTTGTAAACAGTCAGAAATACATGTATCACGCAGCTTCTTCCAAAGGGGGATAACAGTAAGTAACAGGATAAGGAACAGAGAAACCAAGGTCAATTACAGTAGGAGCTACTTCCCTGCTCCGAAGTCATCTCTACAAATCTGCAACATGCCTCCTAGTGCCATTATGATACATAAACTCTGTTCTTTCCCCTAAGATTTTTTTTTTAATTTTTTTTTTTTTTTTGGGGGGGGGGGGGGGGGAGGTGGTTTATCAGTTATAGTTCTTTATTAGGAGAAATTATTTAAAAAAATAAGCCGTTAACTCTTTCTCATATGGTAGATTAAAAAATTGATGATTGAATGCAGCACTTGGGGGAATAATGTAGTGCAACATTTCAGGTAATTGTTTTCTGCATCTGTGTAGCAAAGGCACACAACTGTCGACATAATTTGTTGAAATCATTTTCTCATCAACCATACAACTTTGTGGCAAATGTGATTTTTCGCTCAACAGAAATTGGAAAAAAACGTCGAGAATCGCAGGTTTCCATGGAAACATCTTCGAAGGTAACCCTGTCTGTCCATGCAACTCCAAATGGACGCCTATAGAGGGCTGCAAAGCAGAAGGATCATTCAACTGGAAATTCCCATGGAAACGGCGCTCTCCCCTGTTTCCTGTTGTTGTGTGATAACGCTTTCTAACCATCTGCATGGATGCTTTCTTTAACTCTGAATAATTACGACGAGATGGGAGGGAAAAACCCCTGCTGCTTCTATACAGCCACACTGCATGGTCCTCCCAATAGCGTTTCACAGAATAACCAGGTACATGTGGCCATTCCAGAGAAAATGGACAAGCGATACTTGATAACCATCTTCGAACAAAAAAGCAAGCGATTTATCCGCTTTATCAAACCAGTTGACCACTGAATTCCCTCAATCCCCATAGGCTTTTAACACAGTACCATATTACCATTAGATTCATATAGGTGATGGGTCCAGTCTCCAAGTAGGCCTAAATGTTATACAGAGATATTTTCTAATTGCTAATTATGGACACAAACAGTTATACAGGTATGTTATTTACTAGAGTCGCTAGAGTTACTAGCATTTGATAGTAATGCCCATATTATGTTCTACGGGCAACTACCCTGTTACAAAAATAATGTAAAGGACAACATAGAAATGTACTTATGACATTCAGAATGTATATTTCTTTCCTGCCAAACCATATTAGAAGAAACACCCATCATTGCACAGGCAGGATACAGGAATACCAACAAAGAAGAGTTTGAATGTCAGAGAGATGAAAACATTGAGGGTTCGTGGTGATAATTGAAAGCAATTCAGCTCTCTTTCTTTGCCTTCGTCATAACTGAAGTGCA